TTTTATAAAAAATTAATGATTTTTTTATTTAATATTAAGATAAAATACAAAGTTAAAAAAATTCCAAAAATATATGATTCATACTGTATTTTGATTTATAACATTTTATTGCTGTAAATAACTTTAAAATAGCTTTTAAAATGACTTTTAAAATGGTTTATCAAATATTTTTAATATTTTTAGTTATTTAAATAATTAATTTTATAATTAAATCATTAAATATAATATATACAGTATATACAATATATTTTTAAAATATTAAAATACAAATAAATACAAATACTATTGATATATAAATGATATTCAAATTATATTTTAAGATTTATACAAGTTTTTATTTTGCAAATTTTTCTTCACATATTACCTCTGCAATATCTTGGTTTTATTACTGAATAATTTATTTATTATAATTTTGAAAACAAATCTATAAGAGATAAAAATCTTATCATTAATTTTAAATAACCTAACTTATTTTAGATCTGACTTAAGAAAGGAGAGAAGTAATATTTAAAAAAGTTGATTCAAATATTTCCTTTTACATTATTACCTGAATCTTTTATATCATTACTGGATTCATAGTTATGATTTTTTTTACCATTTGCTACAAGTATTAACTTTTTAAGCTTTATATTAAATTGGAATAATTTAGGCTAAAGCTTCAATTATCATAAAATGAGTATTAATCAGAATTAATAAGAATAAAATACAGCCCAATCTGTATATTAAAACATGTTTTATATTTGCTTTCCAATAATTATTATAATATCAATGGAATGATTATTGTGTTATATTATCTTCTTTTTTAAAATCACAATTTCAAAATTTATTAAATCAATATATAAATTAACTTTTTATAAGAAACAGTACTTTATCAGATTATAATATCAAATACTATATTAATTCTATTCAATTGCTTTTATCTAGAATTGAAATGATATCTTATAATTTGATTTGTAAAGTACTAATTACTATACTATAGATCTATATATTTATTAAATATATATATATACAGTATATTATTTTATTTTTAATAATATAACAAAATAAAATTACAATTTTATTTTTTTTGAAAGTTAAAATAAAACTTTTTTCATAATTTTATTAATTAAGTATGAATTTTATTAATATATAATTAATTTCTAAATCTAAAGATATATCAGTATATATACTAAGGATCTTAATGATTCTCTTCGATTCTGTATTTGATTCTCAAGTTTATATTAAATTTAATAGGTGGGATATACTCCACCATCATTTTTAATAGTGTTCCGAACCTTATGCGATTCTATTCGATTTTATTTGATTCCAATTTTTGGAACCATAATATATACTAGCTTATTATCTATATAGTAGATATATTTTTTAAAAAAACTTATTACAAAAAAAAAAAGAAAGAAATTATTTACTTAAAGAAAAAAAAAACTAAAAGTTTCAAGTTTGTGAAAAAGATATAAAGAAAAAAATAAAATTATAGAGAAAAGTAAATATAAAAAAAAAATAAAATTGTTTCAATAACTAGTTTAATTATTTCTTTAGTATACTATTTCATTGTTGACAATGGTGTAAATATGATAATAATAATATATGTAATTGGATGAATTGGAATATTAGTATAAAAAGTTAATAAAATATGTAATTGAAATCTATACAAAGTACCAATCATGCATTTTTCCAATCTGGCTACATTTGTGATTTGTGTTGATTTTGATAATATGTATAGTTGTTTTAGTGTTTTTATTGTTAATATTATAATATAAAATATCATTGGTATATTGTAGATGTTAATCTTTTAATAGAAGTAAGCTAGATTTGATTTTATAAATAAAAAAATATATAAGAATTGAAAATTAGCCAAAAGATTATGGATAACCTAATACTAGTTATTATACTATAAGTTTAATATAATAGGTCACAATCTATATATTAACTTTATTATAAGTTAGTATCAAGTCAATACTATTTTGATATTCAGTTCGGAACCCTTAATGGAGAGTTAATCGATTTCTTGCCTCCTGCAGTAAATAAAGATATATTCTTTTCCCAATGAAAAGTTCTTGTTAACTGTTTACTATTTATCATTTATGATATTATCAAAAAAAATTTTCAATAAATATTAATGCTAATCAGTACAGTATCAAAATTCACTAATACAATATTGAAATTTTTGGTTCAGTATTTTTATATTAAAATTAATATTAGAACTGAAAAATCAGTATTAATTTTTATTAAAAATAATTAAAAATTTAATTATAATCTTATATAAATTTATAATATTAAACTGGTATGGTGAATTTGCGCAAGAAAAAAAAAAAACGATCTGAACGTTCAAGTTTTCTCACCCTCACCGATCTAAAAAGGTTGGTTCAAAGAAATTGCTAATTAACTCTCTCCCAGATCACTACCCTTTTCACAACACACAAAAAAAAAAAGTTTCTGAAAGTACCATTCGTCATGCTTTATATATAAAAAACTTAAGATCATGTGTTGCTCATCCCAAGCCATTTGTTTCCTCCACCAATATTGAAAAAAGACTCAATTGGGTCCATTTTCATGAAGGTTGAACTGTTCGAAAGTTCAAGTATATCCTGTGGTCTGATGAAACCACAATTCGTCTTTTTCAAACCTCTCGTTGTCGAATTTGGCATGAACCGAACGATTTCCAGGAACTTGATATCATTGTACAAGAGGTATGGAATGATATACCACTTGAGTTTTGCTTTCAGCCGATTGTAAGTATGCCAAATCGTGTTGCCACTTGCCTAGAAGCCACAGGAGGACCTACAAAATATTAAAATAGAATTTTTAGTAAAAAAAATTAAAAAAAAATAAAAAAAAACTTAAAAAAATCAATTGTGATTTTAGTTTAATAAAAAAATTCATGTCTATAGTCTTTCCCGCATAACTCCTGCAAAATAAAGCGAAAATGTATAAAAATTTAGTATGTGGTACCTTGATAGTTACTAAACATGTGATAAAAAATTTATAAAAAATTAGTTATTACAATTTTAAATAATTAAGTGTAAAAAAGTGTCCACAATAATATGATAGGTAGCTGTATTATTATTCTTTAATATATATTATAATCTTTATTTCCATTAAATAAAGAATAACATGAATATTACTACTTTAAAATAATAATAAAAAAGTAATAAATAATATAATAAAACCTGATAAAAACTTTAATAAAAATTTTTTAAAACAAACTTGATTTGCATAAAATTCTTGAAATTTTTATAATAATTTTAAGAATACATTTGACATAAAATTTACAATAATAAAAAAAAACCCATTAAATTTATAGTAAAATTGGATAATTCTTAATTGAAATTGCTGTTATTCCTAATACAATCCTAATTTAATCTTTTTTCAGTGATAAGGTAAACCACGAGTGTAAAAGTAAAATAATGATTTGTCAATAAAACATCGATGATTGATTGTTTTTGAAAACGGTAATAAAATAATTTTTATTAATAAAATTAAGTAATGATTCTATTTTAGCGAATCTTATTGATAGTTAATGTCAAAGCAAAATAAAAATATTCTATTTCATTCACAAAATATTTTTTCTTGACAATTCCTGTTTCCAAAAAAAAAAAAAAATGATCTCGAACCCTTGAACTCAATGTAAAAGATTGTCCAAAAAAAAGTCGCTTCCAAATCGGTTGTGCCGTGGAATCCAAAAGGTTAATCAAACCATCTTTCTATTCCAACCTCAGCAGAATCTCCGACAACATCCAACAATCCAAGCTGAGGCTTTTCATAATTCCCATAAATTACTCTTCTGGTTGATACGGTGGACGACGTATCTGGCACTTTAAACCATTCGCCAGTAGAAAGCTAAAATAAAGTTGTTTGCGCAGTGTAAGAGCATTAATAGTCTTATAAATTTTATAGTAAAAGCAAAGAATTACTGAAAATTACGTACTCCTGTTATTCCTTCGAGAAATTTTTTGACAATATTCTTACGTGATTTGCTTTCAGTTGCCTGACCCAGCGACGTTTCAAATTCCTAAGATAGAGAAAAGTTACCAAGATGTCGAGATGAGAAAGACGTATTCAAATCATACCTGCAACTGTGTATGATCCATATTTAATAACTGTGCGAAAGTTTCATATGGAACATGGGAGACTGGTCTCAAATCGATATATATGTCTGTAATCAGTGAAATGATAACAGGATGCACCTCCTTATGATACCCGTCATGCAGAGCCTATTATTATAAATTCCAGGGAGATATCTTTAGTGAACTTTCAAAGAAATAGGAATTAAATAGATTAATTGATGTTTACCTGAAGTGCCGCCGTTAATAAAGCTTTACCCACAAATTCTCTTAATATCTCACGTTCAACTAAACTAGGTAATATCCTGGAAAATAATTGAGCTGTCCTTACACAAGTCACCGAGTCTTTAAATGTTAGTAAGTGACAAAGACTCATCAAGAATGGTTCTGTAATTGACTTTTAAGAAAGATATTGAACATTTATAAAGTTTAAATCAAGAAGTCATAATATTTTTCACAAAAAAAACAGAGGAAAGAATCAGTACACACCATATAATTCAATATATATTCTTTTAATTCCGTATTTTCAGAGGCATGAACGACTTTATCATCTGCAGATAAAGAAATATGCATTAGAGAAAATATAAATATTAAACCTCAAGTAGCATTCAGAAAAGATACATAGTTACCAGTCTGCTTTTTAGAGGTAGGTGCGTATACCTGATCAAATATGCCAATATAAGCTCTTGTCAAATCTCTCAACAGATGTTCACTCAATATTTCATCTGAGGCATCACTTGTAAGATCCAAGTTTTGAATTTCATTAACTCTAAAAACAAATGTAATGAATTAGAACCAATTAAATCAGCATCCCAACCATCAAATGATTAGCTCACTCTTCAGTTGCTGACACAGAAATTCCTTTTGCAGCTAAAATTGTCCACTCGTTTGATAACTTTTCATCCATATATTTTAGTAATTGTGGTAAAAAGCCAGACAAAATTTCAGGCGTTGGGCAATTCAAGATATATGGTCGAACTACTGAAGGTAAAAAAAGTAGTAGTCAAGGTATCACATAATAATTAACGACGAGATGAATAGCAATCACTATTTAGATTTAAGAAAGGATATTGAGCAGCATCTTCCAATGAATATTATTTAAGCTTTCGACGTTTTCAAATAATGCTTGAGTAAGCGGTTCATGAGAATCGGAAATGGAGTAAAATGTAGGACCAAGAACCGTTAAACGACCGAGAACATAATAACTAATTGTACACAACCACAATATAAATAAATACACAATATGCCGTATTATAACCGTAATATAAATGTTTAAGTAACTACCAATCCGTCCTTAAGGTTATTAACCACTTTCGGATTTGATCCATCATATCCGCTATTGTATGTGGCTTATTAGATAAATCCGTGAAAGGATATTTTTGCAATTGTCCTATATAAAAATAAGAAACGAAATATATTTTAAAAAAGAAAAGAAAGATACAATTATATTGACAATAAATGTTTGCTATTTCATTGATATTTACCTAACAAACTCGCCTTTTCTTCTGGACCTATCACCAATATTTCTTGTAATTCAATAGGCATCTCTCTCCACGTTTCGATATTCCAGATTTGATGGAGTAATCTATTGCCGGTAACAAAATATACATTACAGAATCAGATTGCTTCCGATAATAAGATGAAAGATTCCAAGGTACAAGGTAAAAATAATGGAATAGAAACCTTATCAATGACAAAGTTGTGGACAAGATAGTAGGAATATACTTCCCCCACAAGCTTGCGTCTACCCTCGACAGTGTTAAATCCGTAGTTTTCTAGATATCAATTTTTCTCTTGAGAAAGCTAATCACCAATGATAAGCCGAGAAAACGAAGGGACTAAAATAAAGCTCACCTTTGAAGTATTATCAGTAGTCCTACGAAGCCAAATTAACGTGGTATTTTCTAGCCATACCAACTAAAGATGATTCAAATATTAGAAACCACAATCTGTTGCATTTGCATGAGACAATAATCAAGTATATCATAGAGCCTACCTTATTTCTATCCATTTTATATTGATCCACGATCCCACTAGGCACAGATTCAATATCTGCACTTTTGATGTAAGTACCGTTCTGTTTCATCTCATTGACTTTACAAAATTAAAAAGGGGGGGATAATGAGAAAATCGAAGACAATATTTGCAATCAATCGCTGACTAAATTACGAATCAAAGAAAACTTACCAACAGATGATAGAAAATTAATTCCAGAAGCATCACAGAATTGTGGTAAGGGACCAACGAAACGAGAAAATTGCGGTGAATTCCATTCGTTTATAGTTGCAGAAACTATAGGGTCAAATAGTAGTTGTTTTTGTTCTAGTGGTTGACTAGAATAATATCTAACAGGTAATTGTGAAAGATAATATGTGAATTGGAATTATAATAAGTGTTAAAGCGGCAGGAATAAACGCTTACATGATGGACAATAAAAACTCTTGCAAAGTGCTTTTCTCTTTGCCCGTCACCATGTTGCTGCGGTTGCTTACGAGATCATATACATAGTTATAAATTTCTGTATATATATTCTAACGTGAATAAATTTCGATTAGACATACAAATTAACAATGGTCATGATCCAGTGCAAAATACATTGAATAATTTACCATCAATACGTCAGGCATTGCAGAACCAAATTTTATCAATGTACTAATCGCCCCACTTCGTAGACGTTGAATAGGTATGGGGAGATAAGGAGTGGCAGCTGAAACAGTATACTCAGGAGGAAGAAATACTGCAAAAGTAAAAATCTGAATAAATATAATTAAAGTAACATCGCAATAATTGAAGATCTTAGTTTCGCAGATTTGTCAGAAACATTTTTTTTTCTTATTAATGAAATCTGCGAGATACCTTCTGAAGAACAGAAAACAGCAATGATGAATCAATAATTAATAAATCTACAAAGGAAACTAAAGCTGCTAAATACCGATGCGTCATCACGACGTCCTAAAATAAATATTGTGCATTCAATAATCAACTTTACATACAAAAAAAGCATTGGATAAAAAGTGCTCACCGAATAATCAAGACTTAATAGCATTTGCAATAAATTTTTCAGGTCACTTGTGATTTGAGTTTTTTGTGCCTAAATTAGTAGAAATCTTGTAAATCCGCTGAAGAACGTTAGGCGAAGTCAAAAACGGCTGACCAAAATGTAATATAAAAATACATTGTGATCTTCACTGAGTTTGAAGATTTTTCCCATCCCCATAACTATAGAATCCATTAACGTCATCTCTGCTTCAAAAGTGATATAAAACAGACTATCCACCTTGCACACACCACTCTCTATATGTAGATGATAGATTGTTGTTACTTTATTGATTTGTAAATTGTAAGCCGAGTGCGATTTCGAAAAAAAAAAATAAATAAATACCATCGAGGTCCGTAGGACCGGGGTTCACATTCAATGTTCGTTGGACTCTATCAACCATCCAATTGAACGATGGAATCGCCTTCATAAGTGTGATGGCTTTTATTGTGTCGATCAATTTCGCACGAAGTGTCTGAGCAAAAATCCGATATTCACTAGAGTACCCATCAAGCTCGATATAATAGGTAATCTCATTATCAGCGTCCTCTGGTTGAAAAAGCTTTTGTAAAAAACACACAAAATCAATTTCATGAATGATGCCGATTTTAAATCAACCATAGTATTAATTCATACAATTTTAAGCCTCTCAGCGAATAATTCCAGGAGCATTATTGATAACCCCTCTTGCTCATTGAAGCCCTATTAATCGCTTGAATTTAGAATCTAATGAAATATTTATGTCTAAGCATGCTCATTTTAGAGGTACCTTGGAGATATGTGGGTGTTTCAATGCTGACTGCCAAAATACTGTCGTTGTTGACGCAATCACATTCGATGGGTGTTTTGAGATCTCATAGACTAACTCTAAATATCTGAGAGGGAAAAAAAATAAATGTATCACGTTAGAATTACATATAAAATGAAAGTATGTTTTAGCTAGGTAGACGTTACTTTGGAAATTGTTTAGGTATCGACGTATTGTTCCTGAAGCAAATGTGTTTTTCTCCTATTTCCACAATCACCTAGTTAAAAAATTATTTAAGTGAAATTCGAATAACCATGTTTAAAACAAGATTGAAATAATACCTCTACAAATTTCTTCAAAAATTTGTATTCATGCTCATCTAGCAATATAATTTGCCCAGGAGGTTGTATTTTGCTATATACGGCTATCAGTAGGTCCAAACCGTTATGCTCATAAAATGGCTCACTAATAGATGCTCGATCTTCCGGAGTTTGAAAGGTTCGAGAAAGGACAACGGATAAACACTCAATCGCTTCCTGAAAAGAACTTTTGTCAATTGTTTTTGAAAAACATGAACAAATATCACTGCGATTTCTGATCTGCTCTCACCATCTTTATTCCATAGCAATCACTCAACAAACAATTCGTCAACGTCAACACTGTATTTGCTTCAACTATGGCTCTGCGTCAACAGAATTATAACTGAGAACCTTGAATATTAAAATTTCTCTTGGAAACATGAATGGAACATCTTATACTTTGCAAAAATCCATTCCACGTGCGTAGTTATTGCATTAATAGTTGCAATCGCAAGCCTCTCATGAATTAAGAGAGTAGGCGACTGAGTTTGGTTCTTGAAAGAAAGAAAGAAAGAAAGAATATACGATCGTCACGTGGCCTTAAAGAAAATATATGATCAAATAATAATAATAATTACCTGATATTGCCACTCCGTTATTAACTGTTCAAGAGATCTGATCCACCTCACTAACCATCCTTCATTATTAGGTTCTCCTTGCATTATTGTTAGTTCACCTGCACGTGAACTATCATTCTTTACGCCATCCGGATATTTGGCTTGCAACGCAGATGAACTTCCTACTATACAGGTTAAAGAATCTCGCAGATCTATTTCCTCGGCCAAGCAACGAAATATTATCAGTACTAGTTCTTGTGTGGTCGGCTTTTATGGCAAAGAAAAAATTATGACTTATCAGCATTCATGAATGTGTGAAAATATTGAAGAGATCGCACCAGATTGAGGAAAAAAAACCTTACGCCGGCAATATAAAGATTATGTAACAATTGATCCATGTCTGTCCAACGAATTGGCCACTCAAGTTTTACAATATTGGCTAATAATTTTGCCAGTTTCTCTTTGATAAACAATTTCTCCGTTAAAATATCGTGGGTTCCCTGAATCGACGAATCCAAACTAATTTCAGAATGTTAAGGAAAAAATTGCGAAATGGCGGAGGCCAACATGTACTTTAAATGTAAAAAAGAAATACCTGTTGAACTAAATCTATTACGTATTGCTTTATCTGTTCTCTTTCTGATTGATCATAATTATTCCAGTGAAATCTAACCGAATTTTCTATTAACTGCAATCCAAAGTGCCTGACTATATCTGACTGCCCGTTATTTTTAGTAGCCAAGAACTGACCATAATGTGGTGCGTATGGGTAGTCTTTAATTGTATTGCAATACTGACAGATCAAGAAATTTTTGATTAAAAAATGCCAGAGCGCAGCGATTTCCTCGAAAATCACCTTTATTATTTTAAATGTAATTCTAAGGATGTACGCATAAATCATATATAACGAACCTTTTGTGCTTCGATCCTCTCTTCATTTGACACATGCGGACTATGGATTATGTTCAAAGCTTGTACAATCTTAGCAAGCACTAGGAAACAATTGTTTGGGAAATTTTTTTTTTAAATACAAATTCCTCGTGTAGAATAATAATTCAAACTCAATAATATAAAATGTTTGTAGAAATTGGTATATTGGTTTTTTATTTTGATAACTTCGGAGAATAAGGAATAGCTTTATTGTGGCATTTACAAAAGAAAAGATACAGCTCCACTAATGCACATTAACATGACAAGACTCCTATAAAGTCTACAAGTACATTGACTATATATCGAATATCACGTTCGGATTGTTTACTTTCCCAATACTATCGATTTTTCTTTAAAAAAAATAAAAGAATATACCTTGAGGATCCATGATTTGAGAGAGAAGAAAGAGCTTATGATTTCGGATCGATCTAATAATATACGCTGTTGATTTTGACTGCTATTTATGCACAACCAAAAAAAAAAGTTGGATCATTTGATGCAATTACGTAACATTTAAAATTATAATAACCGTTTGTTCCTAAATATATATACAGTATATCCAATGATAATGCCACCTAAGAAATTGACACCATATCAATTTAAAGAAGCTCTTCATTATGACGCCCCGGTTAATATGACAAAAATTTGAGTCTCGTGTAGTTATGATGAAATAAGAAACAAAAGAACAATGAATGATAAATTCCTTAATTTTTAGGTTCCTAATTTTTTGGCTAATTTAAACAAGCAAGTAGAGGACCATCAAAGTGGGCGATCAAAAGAGGAAGAGTTACCTTCGACCGATGAGGAAGAGGAACTCGTTGCCAAAAATGAAGAAGAAAGACCACAAATTGTCGTGTTAAAAGAAGGAAGACATATGAGTGAGAAAGAAGTTAAAGCTCACCTTGCCAAAAAATTGGAAAACAGTGGTTCGACTTCATAATTTCTTGTGATTTACTAATTCGGATAATTACCTAACTTCATCTTGTCTATAACAATTTCCATAGGGGAGACTTTCTCGGATGAAGAGGAAGAAGATTCGTCACCTGTTATTGATGAGAAAACCGGAAAAATTCTTTTTCGAAAGCCAAACAAGAACAAATCCTCAAAAGATAAAATTTCCACAAAATCTTCATCGATCAAAAAAAAATCAAGTAAATCCGATGAACCTATAAAATCCATTAACGAGGCAATTGAAGGAATGAAACGCAAACGAGAGGGCGCTAAGGATTCATCAGATAAAAAACATAAATCGAAAAAGAAGTCTAAACCTAGTCATTTGAGTTTTAATGAAGAAGAATAGAATTATGACTTGGCAAATGATTCTTACTAGAAATCGAAACCAATGTGACGGAATCGTTTTCTTTAGATATAATCGGTTCAGTAATAGTAGTGGGTACGTATTCTTTTCCGTGGAAACTTTACAAAATTGTGCGAACCTCGCTGATATATTTTTCCCCTCGAATTGGAATACAGGCCTTGTACGCGCGGTTTGACAAATCCCCAAATACTGACATGTATTTTTTATTTTAAACGATCGCCTGTTATATACAGTATAAAACTTTCATTGTCTATAATAAAAAATTTAAAATATTTTTAATTATTTTATCTTATAATTTAGAATTTAAAATATATACAGTACATGTATATTATAATTTGCAAATATTATTAATTTTTTTCATTTTATAAAATTTTATTATTAAAAAAATAATTTTTTTTTACAAAGGCATTATATGTAAAGCTTTATCGAAATAATTTTATGTCACACCATTATATTAACATTTTTGCAAATATAAATTAAGTGTAGTTTTCTATTACAATACCAACTAACATCAAGAAAGTAGATCTATAAAATAATTTAATCTAAGTTTATTTTGCTTGTAAAAAGATAAAAGTTTTGCTTCACAAGTAAAACTTTTTAAAATTTTTCATCTCAATCTAATATCTTCTTTTTTCTTATGATAAATTATTAATAAAAAATTATATTAATATCAAATAGAATAGTACCAATTACAAAAAAACTCTCTAAAAACTCTTTCCGCTGATCCTTTTGCCAACCCAAAAAACAGACGTTCTCAAAAAACTTTTTGTTTTTATGATAATA